TTTCCTTAGACTGGTGGTTCTTACCCTTTTGGGGGTGCTAGATCTATTTGAGAACTTAGAGTATAGAACTTAGAGTAGAACTTAGCCTTCCACATGTATATATAAAGTTTTTCATGCAATTTCATGGGATTTGTGGACCCCAGGTTTAATAACCCCTTTTTTAGATTAATTTAAATCATCTTGTTACTCTGGTATAGTGATTTGGATGGAAACACACCAGCATAGTTATGATGTGAGACTCCCCCATAGGACTGACTCCCAGGAGAGAGCAGAGAGAATACAGAATGCATTGAACTCTGTGGCAAGTTTCCGCTTGCCTTTATCTTTCCTACCCCTTCCACTGGAATGTCCCTCAAAGAGTATTTCTGCTCTGGTATTCTTTTCTTTTCTTTTTCTTAATATTGTGGTAAAGTATACATAACATAAAATTTACCATTTTAACCATTTTTAAGTGTACAGTTTAGTGGTGGTAATAATAAGTACATTTACATTGTTTTGCAACCATCACTACCATCTATCTCCAGAATTTTTTATCTTCCCAAACTGAAATTCTGTCCCCATTAAACACTAACTCTCCATTTCCCCCTCCCCCTAGCCCCTGGCAACCACCATTCTACTTTGTGTCTCTGTGAATTTTACTACTCTAGGGACCTCAAGTAAGTGGAATCATGCAATGTTTGTCTTTTTGACTGATTTATTTCATGCAACATTATGTCCTCAAGGTTCATCTGTGTTGTAGCCTGTGTCAGAATTTCCTTTGTTTTTAAGGCTGAATAATATTGCACTGTATGTGTGTACCGCACTTGTTTGTCCGTTCGTGTGTCAGTGGACACTGGGTTGCTTTCACCTTTTGGTTATTGTGAATAATGCTGCTATGAACATTGGTGTACAGATATTTGTTCAAGTCCTTACTTTCAGTTCTTTTGGCTATGTGCCCAGAAGTACAGTTGCTGGATCACATGGTAATTCTACCTTTACTTTTTTGAGAAACTGCCATAATGTTTCCTACAGTGGCTGCCCCATTTTACATTCCTACCATCAGTGTGCATGGATTTCATTTTATCCACATCCTCACTAACACTTGTTATTTTCTGGTTTTGGGTTTTTTTTTATAGTAGCCATCCTAAGGGATATGAAGTGGTATTTCATTTTGGTTTTGATTTCCATTTTTCTGTAATGATTAACTATGTAAAGCATCTTTTTATGTGCTTATTGGCCATTTGTATATCTTCTATGGAAAAATGTCAATTCAAGATCTTTGCCTGCCTTTTAATTGGGTTTTTTTTGTTGTTTTGTTGCTGCACAGGGGTCTTCTTGTTTGCCTAGATAGTTCACTACTTTAAGAAGCTATTGAGAATTTATCTGGGGTCCTATGGGGCAGCCTACTCCCTTTGCAGAGATGTAATGCAGAGGTGAATGCTCAGTGACTTGCTACTCTGGAAAACTCTGCCTGGTATGAAAAGATTTGTCTGCTTATTGTAGAGGAAGTTCAATGGTGGATACTTCAGAAATAAGCCATTGGCTACTTTTGGGTATCGTATGATATTGCCATCTTAACTTTTTACTAAATAAAAATATAATCTCTTTTTGGGAAAACGAGGTAGCAGAGATTCTGTCTTATAATTTTTCATTATGATATTATGGTGTGGGGCAGGTGTTGGCCAACTATGGCCCATGGATCAAATCCCACCCCCACCTGTTTTCATAAATGAAGTTTTTTTCTAATGCAGCCATGGCCATTTGTATACATACTGCCCATAGCTGCTTTCACCACTAGGCAAAGTTGAGTAATTGGGACAGAGATTGTCCAGCCCACATAGGCAAACATTGGCTGTCCAGCCCTTTACAGAAAAAGTTTGCCACCCTCTGGCTATTCTAGACATTTGAGAGAAGCCATTTGTAAAGCCATATATGTAATAGAGGAATAATGACTACTGGCTCTTTATTCTATACTCAAGCACTTTGAAAACTGTAAAGCTTATGTAGCTTACTGCTTTTAAGTATTAATAGAACTTGAGCTTTGCATCCAGAGCTATGTTTAAGCTTTTACCTAACCTGTCCCTCTGATGAGAATCTGCACTGGTCTCTAACAAGTTGGCTTTATCATGGATTACCCTAAATTTATCAGCAAAGCTTTGGGCTGTAAATTTCCCCCGGGAGATTTATAATCCTTCCCTTCCCTGACTCCTTTGATCCAGTGCCTGGTGCAGTTATAGGTTGGGTATTCCTTATCTGAAATGCTGGAGACCAGAAATGTTTTGGATTTCAGATTTTTTTCAGATTTTGAAATATTTGCATTATACTTAACTGGTTTAGCATCCCTAATCTGAAAATCCAAAATGTTCCAATGTGCATTTTCTTTGAGCATCATGTTGATGTTCAGAAAGTTTCAGATTTTGAAGCATTTTGGGTTAAGGATACTCAGCCTGTATAAGTTTGTCTAACTTGTTTTTGCTTTCCAAGCAGAAACTGAGGTAGCACTAAAGCCACTGATGCTATTGGCAGGGGGGATTATTATAAGGCTAAACTTAGAGACTCCAGCTTAGAAGCCTCCAGAGCAAGGAGAAGGTTAGGAGAACGAGGCAAACCTCCGACTGCACGGTTTGCTGTGATTTTGCCTCCCTAGAATGTGGGGACAGCTCTAGAACTGGGTGCCGCCTGGTCAGGAATGAGTATTTGATTTCCCCTAGCACTGTAGTGTGCTGCTGTCTACACTGCTACTAGAGATGGTCTCTTGGGACTCCACCCACTGGAGCAGTGTTTCATGATGTAGGAGAAAGGAGGCAGAAGAAGAAAGAAGATTTCCTTGATCTGGTTGAAAATTGTCATCCTTTTGTCTCTATGGATATACTTGTCATTCCACTCCAGTCCCCAAAGTCTGAAGCTGCACCCTCAGAGCATTGCCAACCGTCTTCCGTACAGACAAGTGGTGGGCTGGCAGTCAGCGACACTTGTTCTTCATGCACTGCGATGGGAGCACTTACAAAGCTCCTGTTACCACTTGTGTTGCATGAGATGAAGTGGTACCTCTACAACCCTCAGATGTTTCCGCCCTGTACTCAGGACTACCTCACTTAAGTGGGCGACCCTCTAATTCAGATGGTTTTTGCATGGCATCCATGAATGCATTACACAGGGATTTGTGCGTGCCAAAAACTGTAGGTGAGATTTTGTGCATGCATTTACCTGAGCAGAGGGTTAGTGGCTGTTATCATAGCAAATTTTCAGAGGAGTTTGTGAACCTAGAATGATTTAAAGCTACTGCTAAATAAACAGTTTTAAAGAGAGAATGAGAGAAAATATGTGTGTACATTTTTTATTTGGCTGGTTTAATACAGTGGTTTTAAATTTCTTCTAATCACCAAAAGCCTCCTTTCATTACTTTCCCTCAACAGATCACCCAGAATTCCTGTAATCTCATCAACCTAATCACAGCTTCTAATTAACATTATAAAATAATCGATTAACGAGAGATAACCGCCTTGAGTTAATATAAGCTACAACCCAAAGCAAAGAGGCTTCTCTTATCACCAGGCTGAGAAGCAGCCTTGTCATGGACACATTGCTATTTTTGTTGTTAGACTTTTAATGTATTAATACTTTTAGGGGGCCCACAGCCACCCAGAGGACCTGGTTAGTGATCCGTGGTAGTGTGCCCTCCATGGGCCTGCCTGGGTTTGGTTCTCCTGCCTCGTGGTGTTAGCATGCCTTTGGTTTCCGTGTGTCTTCAGACGTTGCCGAAACCAAATCTTCTCAATTGATTACTGCAGTATTTGGGGAAGGTCAGATTCTCTTCCTCAGAAGATTTTGCCTGCTGTTAACCAGCCTTTGTCATCAAGCATTGGGAAGTCTGATCTTTGTCCTGGCCTAGCTCACTGCTGACTGTGACTGCAGTGGACAGCTGGGGGTGAGGCAAAGGTGGCAGGCGCCATGTCTGGCTGACATAGCTCACAGCTTTGCGGCTGCATACTGCAGCAGGCAGAGAGCAGGAGGGCTGACAGGAGCAGAGTCTGAGATTAGCGTGCCCTTCTCACACCCCTCATCTCAGTGTGGTTCTAGAATGGGGGAGGAGAGAATGGAAGCTGGACACTTGACAGACTTAACACAGAAGTCTTTTACAGAGCTGGTCTTTCCTGGTGTCGTGTGGTCTCAAGTTCTGCTCGTGAGCCATTTTTACTTCTTTCTTTGATGCTTTTGATTTATTATCATGCAAAACACAGTTTTGCTTGTGATGAGCTACACAGCCCTTAACTGTTGAATTTGGTGACTTTTGCCGTCTTTTGGGGTATGTATTTGTATACAAAGTATATTGGGGATGTATTTTGAATGATTTTTCACATGACCCTTAACAGTTTGAAGATCAAAGAAGTTGGTTTTCTGCATAGTTGTTCTTGACCACTCTCAGCCTTTCCCATGCTTACACCTTGTGAACTGAAATAATATTTTTAGACTCCCCTCCACTGGTTGACTGAATGGGCCCCCTCTTGGCCAAGGAATACCCTAAAACTGAGTTATTAGCCATGAGAAGGGAGGTCAGACATACCTCATCATGCCCCCCTCCCTTCTTGGAGATAGCCTTTACAACTCATTAACAGGCCTAAGGTTGTACAAGACTAACCTACAGGTCCTCAATGTACAGAATAAATTGCTTGAATCTGGGTATAAAACAAGTGGCTTATCTCTGATTAACAGACTTCCTTCTCTTAACTTTAAAGCATTCCAAGCCTTTAGACAAAACTCATTTCTTTAACCAATTACAAATCAAAGAGTCTTTAAACCCACCTACAACCTGTAACCTCCCGCTTTGACATATCCCACCTTTTTGGGCCTTCCTTATATTGATTTATGACTTTATGTGTGATTCCTGTCTCCCTGAAATGTATAAAACCAAACTGTAACCTAGCCACAGCAAGCTCACTTGCTCAAGGCTTCTTGGGCATGGCTCTGGGCCATAGTCCTCAGATTTGGGTCAGAATAAACCTGTTTAAATTATTTTACAGAGCTTGACTTCTTTTCCGTTGAGAAGATTGCTGCACAGCGTGAGGCTCAGAGAAGACTTAGGACCCTCCGAAGGAGTAGCCCGAACTCGGCACCAGGTACCAACATGGCCCCTTTGGGCCCCCCGACTCCGAGCTTCTCCTTTGGTGGAACTGGTAAGTCCTCCTGAGCTCCGGACCTCCCGTTTTTGGGTGATGGTCCTGGTTTATTCTGAGCTGTTGGTTCTTTTCCTAGGAATTTGTTGTTTGGGATCCTAATTTTGATTTTGAGGTACATTCTAAAGTGTCTTCTCCATTGCCTCTTCCTCCCAAAATTAATCTCAATTGGCTTTTCTGCACATTTGCAAAAGAGGAAACCGAACTGTCTTGTTTGTTGATAAATGAGAGCCTGAGTTCTCAGCTCCAAAGAGAAAGGGCATTTTTATTCCTCTCAGCTGGAAGGCACCCTGGGTGACGGAGGACCTGAGTGGGAGTTGCCTGGGGTGATTGCCCACAGCTTGAGGGGCCCAATAGAGAACCCCCCCAACAAAATTAATTAATAGCAGGCTTGTCCAGGAAACACATTTAAGAGCTGATCTCTCTGTTTTGAGCCCTTTCAGAGGTATTAGACGGAAACTGAGACAGGTAAAGTGTGGGAACGGCTCAGTGGTGAAACACTGTGAAGCCTCAACCCAGCCTCAGCACACTCTGTCTGATACTAAACCCTATACTACAGTTCAGTTACTTCTTTTAAAGGAAAATGGGAAATAAATCTTTTTTTTTGTTCTGAGACAGAGTCTCACTCTGTTGCCCGGGCTAGAGTGTATTGGTGTCAGCCTAGCTCACAGCAACCTCAAACTCCTGGGCTCAGGCGATCCTCCTGCCTCAGCCTCCTGAGTAGCTAGGAGGCTGTGGCAGGCATGCGCCACCATGCCTGGCTAATTTTTTCTATATATTTTTAGTTGGCCAATTAATTTGCTTCTGTTTATAGTGGAGATGGGGTCTCGCTCTTGCTCAGGCTGGTTTCAAACTCCTGACCTTGAGCAATTCACCCGCCTCTGGACCTCTCAGAGTGCTAGGATTATAGGCGTGAGCCACCGCACCCAGCCAGGGGAATAAACCTTGTAAAAATGAGTGAAGACAAGGAAGACGACCCCCTTTGGGCACCACAATTGGTTTATGGTGCCTGTACCTGCAAATATTTGTAAATGGAAAGGTTCAAAGACCTGCCACGTTTTCTAGGACTTCAGCCAGTTATGGCCATATGGCCAATTCCTTTTTTTTTTCTTTCTTTGAGACAGTCTTGCTCTGTCACCCAGGCTTCAGTGACATAGCATAAGCCTAGTTCACAGCAACCTCAAACTCCTGGGCTCAAGGGATCCTCCTGCTTCAGCCTCCTGAGTAGCTTGGACTACAGGTGTGCACCACCACACCCAGCTAATTCTTTCTATTTTTAGTAGAGTTGGAGTCTCACTCTTGCTCAGGCTGGGCTCAGCCTCCCGGCCTCAAGTGATCCTCCCACCTCAGCCTCCCAGAGTGCTAGGATTATAGGTGTGAGCCACCACCAATTCCTGTGCACAAGATTTTACTGAAGGGTAAATTACATCAAGGAAATTCAGAGCTCAGTTGGTGGACCTGACAATATAGAGTTAAAATGTCTCTCACGCGCTCTCTCTTTCTTTTCTGGCTATTCTAAACCTAACTTTTTCTACTGATGTTGAGATAAAGTCATTGTTTATAATATATCCAATTGAAAGGCTACCTGGAAATCTTACAGCCAGTTCTAGCTAAAATGTAAACATTGAAAACTCATTTTAAACCAGAAAAAAAGGAGGGGGATAAGAGGTTTTTAAAAAAACCCCAGCTGCCATAAAAACTGCTTTACCTAAAACTTTGATACTCAGGTGTAATAGGTTACCTGTCAGGGCAACTAAAGTTTAGCCACATGAACAAGTTCCAATTTTGTCAGAAGAAATTTGGATCCAGTGTCTTTTACAAACTGGTGAGTTTGTATTACCATCTCATGACTAAAATTCTGAGGTAAAATCTATTGACACTTTGTGAACGCATGAGTGTATATGCTTAGATATGTTTTGTGTTTGTCCCCATAATATATGTTTGTGTGCCTACGTGGTTGTGGACTGGCTTATAAATAAGAGAATGCTCATAAATTAAATAAACCCAAATGAATTTTCTAATTCACTTGAATTTAGTAATCTTTGATAAGTAAACTGGGTTATTAAAAATATTATTGGTGAAATAGAAATAAAAATGTTGTCAACATATATTTTTTGCCTGGGTTTTACTGGGCATTTTTATGTTTCTTAAGGTAAACAGGTTCTGTCTAGCCAAGAATAAAGAGAAATGTCAGGGCTTGACACAAAGGTTGTAAAACTATAAACCCAGCCAAAGACAAAATGGTCTGTGTTTGTATAATTTTTAATAAGTATGGTATATTTAGTATTGTTGGTCTAATGATAATAGCTTAAATCTCCTTGAGTTATTAACAAAAATGCCTATTTTTAACCTTAAGGTTCTTAATTAGGTAAAAATGTAGATATGCCTAAACAAAAAATAAGTGTCAACAAATTAGAATAAATAAAACACCAAATAAATAGAACATAAAAATAGAAACTTATGGTCAATGATTTATAAAAATATTTTGGTTTTGGTCTTTTAATCCTAGCTGCAGATACAGTTTCTTCCACTAATTTCAGTGTCTGAAAAGGTACACATAAAACGTGTTTCTAACTCACTCTTTCTGTCATCTGATAGTAACAGTACTGTTAGGGATTCAAAGCTATCTTAAAAATTTTAAAGCTTTAGTTTTCCCTTGGTCTTGTCCACTCTTGATTTGCTAGCTGATTATGTGTACATTTTATTGCTATAACAAAGTTTTTGCCTATGACAAAAATCCTTAATTGTTAATTTATACATATTAATTTATTTTAAGATTAAAAAAATTATTGTCGGCTGGGCACAGTGGCTCACGCCTGTAGTCCTAGCACTCTGGGAGGCTGACGAAGGTGGATTGTTTGAGCTCAGGAGTTCGAGACCAGCCTGAGCAAGAGCGAGACCCTGTCTCTACTAAAAATAGAAATAAATTAGCTGGACAACTAAAAATATATGTAGAAAAAAATTAGCCAGGCATGGTGGCACATGCCTGTAGTCTCAGCTACTTGGGAGGCTGAGGCAGTAGGATTGCTTGAGCCCAGGAGTTTGAGGTTGCTATGAGCTAGGTTGATGCCACGGCACTCTACCCCGAGCAACAGAGTGAGACTCTGTCTCAAAAATAAAAAAAAAAGATTGTTAAAATCCAAAGAGAATCTCTAGACCGTCTTACTCTTTGGAAATAGTAACATGTATTCAAGTTTACACCCAAGTTGGAAAATGTTTTGAGACTATTTAGATTGTTTTTAAAACAGCTTAATCTTGATCCTCATATAAGAAAAACATGTTACAACTTTGTGTCATTATTTGAGGTGCTGAGTATTGGTGCTAAAGGTTTTTTTTTCCCCTTGGTCTAAAGTCAAGTGATATCATGTTGATGGGCCTCAAAAAACGACCCCAAAATAAAGGCCTCAAGAACAGAAGGTCTTTGACTTTCCCTTGTCTTTCTGCCTTTTGGTCCCATACTTGCCTGAAGCTAGCCATAGAAATCAGAATTCCTCTTCCCCAAGACAGGTCATAAAAGCCAGAACCCCTCTTTTCCTAAAAGCCATAAAACCTAAAATTATTCTATGTAAAATCTTGCCATAAAGTAATGATCTGACCTATTTTGTTTTACTGTAAAACCTCTACTCCGGAAAGACCCTGACCCACACCTAAAAGAAAGGAATACATACTCAGAGAAGCCAAACACAGTGTAGATAAAAATAAAAAGGCCTTGCTGGGTTCCCCACTCAGCCTGTTAGCAGTAGATCACACCCTTTTTGTTCGAATCATATTTCTACACAGCTGTCTACACTTAGTTGACCCTGACCATAAAAATGGACACTTTCCCTTATATTTTTGAGTGTTCATTGTAAAGATTCCCATGTATAAGTTTATAATTTTTCTTCCTATTAATTAATCTGCCTCATCAATAAATGTTCAAGAAAACTTTATGCAAATAGTGGGCTTTGCTCTGCTCCCTACAATTTGACTAAATTTTGGGGGTCTAGGGACACTTTGGTCCCCACAATGTCAGTAGATTTTGTTTTGAAATGTGGTGTTTTATTTATTTATTTATTTTTGCTTTTTATTATTTTTATTTGAGACAGAATCTCACTCTATTGCCTGGGCTAAAGTGCCGTGACATCAGTCTAGCTCATGGCAACCTCAAACTCCTGGGCTCAAGCAATCCTCCCACCTCAGCCTCCCAAGTAGCTCAGACTACAGGCATGTGCCACCATGCCCAGCTAATTTTTCCTGTTTTGGTAGAGATGGGGTCTCACGGTTTCTCAGGCTGGTCTCAGACTCCTGAGCTCAAGCATCCTCCTGCCTAAGCCTCCCAGAGTGCTAAAAATATGGTGTTTTAAAAGGATCTAGGCCAGGTGTGGTGGCTCATGCCTGTAATACTAGCACTCCGGGAGGCCAAGGTAGGAGGATTGCTTGAGCTCAGGATTTTGTGACCAGCCTGAGCAAGAACGAGAGCCCCATCTCCACTAAAAAAAATAGAAAGAAATTAGCTGGACAACTAAAAACATATAGAAAAAGTTAGCCGGGCATGGTGGCGCATGCCTAAAAGAAAATTCAATATAAAAAATAAAATTTTTTAATAAAGATTATAAGACATAGAAATTGTTTTTGTTAAAAAAAGATAATTTTGTCAAATTTATAGGTTTTAAAGACTTTTAATTAAATAAATGAGTAAAGCTAAATAGTTATAAAAGTTAAAAATAAAGGTTATAAAAGGTTTATAAAAAATCTTATAGTAAAATTGATTAAAATTAAATAGATTTGTTTACAAGATTTTGTTAGAATTAGCTTTTCCATTGATACACTAATACAAAGGAAAAATTTGATTTTCTCTTTCAAACAAAAATTTTCATGAGATTTCTAAAATTTTAATATGCCTTGATAATGTGCTAATAATAATTACATATGTTAAATTGTTGTATGCCACAAAAATAACCAGATCTCCTTTTCACCTTTAATCATGACTAAGATTTTATCATCTACACCTGTTTAAAGGT